AGTTGCAATATTTTTCGCAGACACTTTTGTTCCAACTTGAAATACGATCATTATAAAACGACGAAAGCTATCTTCTAGCTTCTCTGTGAGGATGATTGCTCCCTCGAGGAGAAAGGACGAGGAATGGTAAAATGTTTGTATCTTCAAGTGTAATTTACGGGGAGAATTTTTTTTTTTTTGTCTGAGAGATGACGAGAATTTAGATTATTTATTTTTGGAGGGTAAGAGAAGCGAGAAAATGAATCTCTTACTTGAACATTGTCAGAATAGAGTAGAGACAGACTTTTGCTATTTTACAATTATGAAAATGGAAATAATTAGTTTCATAAATTAACCGTTTGTGAAGACTGTCGAAATTAGTTAAGATTTAAGGGGCTGTCGTTTTAATACGGTCTATTCAATGATTCTCAAAATTGCCTTATTTCTTAACACAATCTCCTGCTACAATTATACACTTGTCCCATAATTCTACTATCTTTTCTATGTCAGCAGCAAAGAATTCTTTGTCTCGAAGTTCAAGCCTGTTTTGCAAGTTTCTTATCACTTCTTAATTGCTGTAAAACTTTAAATCTGACGGATCAAGATCTAGACTATAACACGGATGTGGCAGAACCTCCGAGCCTAGTTTTTCAAAATAATAGTTGTCGAACAGCTGTTTTCACCCTTACGTCAATAACCGAATACCCTTTTGCACATTTTCTCACTTGAAAAATTCGTATATCCCGCCGGATCGTTATTACTCCGCACATTTCCAAACTCTAGAACTTTCTTATCAGAAATCTACCAAAATTGGTCGACAAAGTATACGACAATTGTGGTCACCGGCATAAGTGTTACATTGACAACTAAAATGTCAAAGTATCTCTTAAAATATGGCACAACTCTTGCACCAATTTCCGCAGCCACAGGCGCCAGCCAGCGTTCTACCCAGTTAAGTAAACAGAAACATGTCGTCGCCTACTTAGCTGAATTCAAAGGGTTAACGGTGTACAAAAGGAATTTCCTAACCCGTGGCAAGCTTCTTTCGCCTAATTCTGTGCAAATCTGCACCGGTGAACGAAGGAACAGCACCGCGTGTCTGTTTATAGAGAAATTTTCGGCCTTCGTGTCCCCTCGCGGCGTTTGGTTCGCGAAGCGTGTCCGCGCGTCGGGGTCCGGATGAAAGTAAAAGTACCGAGAGCTCGCTGCGCCGGGGTAAAGTGTGCGCACATGTGTGCCATAGGCTGTGATCGCGTGAAATGCGAGCGTGGAAGGAGAGGACGCAACGCGTCTTTCCGACCTTTAAAATCGTGCAAACGCATTTCCAGAGTTGCACCGTCGTCGTCGTCGTCGTTCTGCCAGATGCTTTCACCGAGGCGCCGAACACTCGCTCGATTACGCGCGATGACGTAACCAGATTCGCTGGAGACACTCTCCCGTAACATAGACCTATTTCATAAACGACCGTCGAACACCTATTGGTTCGACGAGAGGAAACGCCGATGATCAACGGTGTAGAGAGAAAAGGCGGGAAAATTGAACAGTTCGAAGAGTCAGGCAGATATGAAATCTCTGGGAGGCCGAGTCAGTTTGCAACGAAGCCGCCTATCGTGAGTCGAGTTACAGCTGATTGTGTCATTCTAGAAAATCGCGAGGGGGAGGAGATCGAAATTCTGTTTGATAATTGGATTTTTTCATTCGTTTACCGGGAATTCCTGTCGTTCCGTGAAATACAGAGGAGCACTCTGGCATCGAGAAAATATGACAAAGAAATTGTGAAACATACGAATTAGAAGAATTGAAAGTGTCTTAACCCCTTAACCTATGACTTCTTTTCTGACTATGCATCTAAGCGTCGGCCATTTAATGTTTTAGTACTATATCAGGTAACGAAAGCTAATCTGTTACAGATTAATTACATTTAGGCATCCTTCATTTTAGAAATTAAAACGAAAGTTAGGATTACAATGAATTTTTCTTACTAATATAACTACTTTTGTCGTATCTTGACCAGAATCTCTGTCGCGAGTCTGACACGTTGTTGTAGGTTAAAGGGTTCATCGAAAACTTCTCGGAGGAGAGATTGAAATTCTGTTCGATAATTAGATTTGTTCCTTAGTTTACTCGGAATTCTATGAAGTCAGCCAAGAAAAGTATTTGAATAAAAATCGAAGGAAATTCAAATGATGGTGTTACCGAAAAGAATAAGAAAATATTGTGAAATCAAAAAGCGCTTACGTTTTTCTTATCAAATTTAAAAGTTCCTTGCAAATATTGATCTAAATTACAAAATTCGACACGGACTCATGGAATGACCTAATAAACTACAACACTCCAGTATCAAGCAAAGCAAGACTAAAAAATTCTGAAACACAGGAATTAGAAGAATTGAAACCTATCTTAATCGAAACCTTCTCCACTTCTACAATCACCTCTGTGACACAACGAGGCTGTTTTCGAAAGCTGGACAAAAGTCGCGAGTGATTTCAAAGCTACTCTTTCCATTCTTTTCAGGTGGTCCGCGACCAAGCTTGCCAGGGCTAGCTTTCTGTATCGCGGACGAATTGCCACGCTCGAGTGGATTTAACACCGGCTGCGCAAGTACCAGCAGCAGCAGCAATAGCACCAGTTCGAAACGGGAGCACTAATTGTAAACGCGACTAAAGGGGTCGAAGTGTAGGGGTTGGGTGTTGAACAAAGAACAAACAGGCGAAAGGAAGAAAAAGTGGATGGCAGACGGGAAGGAGAAAGGACAAAACAGAGGGAGAGACTGCGATTGCGAATCGCGAAAATGGAGTGCGAACTGCCCTTGACGAAACGGAGGAGCAAGCCTCCTCCTCTCTGTATCTTCGTAACGAGCCCGCGTAATCGCGCAATGCCACAATGCAGCTAATTATCTGCATCAATGCTGGCGAGAGCCATGAATATTCATACTTGACATCTTTATCGGCGTGCACAGGCGGGGAAATTCGAGTCGTTACACGCGGGCCTCCTTTCCGACCCACCTCTCTCTCTCTCTCCCTCTCGAGAATCGATAGTCAGTCGTGTCACGGTTAAGGAAATTAAAGGGGTTCGCGACGAGTCTGCATTATAGGTAGGTGTACTTTTTTGCGTAAAAACGAGACGCGACGAGCGGAGAAACCGAGAACAGAGAGAGAGAAAAGGGAGCAGCGTTTTCGCGCTCGAACGAGACGGCTGCCCTCGTGGCAAAACGACTTACTTGTTTACCGAGTAATTAGATATTCTTGCCAGCCGGAGCACTTTGACACGGATTCGCGTCAGTCTAACACACGCTCGCGAGAGAAAAAAACAACCTGGTCGACCAGTCCTCTCTTACGAACTTCCCTTTCATTTTTGACACCGTATTTCTCACACTGTGTTTCCTTTCTTTTCTTCTCTTTTTCCCAAGAACTTAATAATAAACTTACTGTTTTCTACGATAAAAATAGTTGACGTTGTTGGGAGAACTCGTTTTACGTATGTTTGAGAAACATAACCTCAATCGAAACTTAACATAACCTCTTTTCGCGAAGGGTTAAGGATAGCAGAAATT